GTAAATACAGAACGTATTTTTCTCGCTGTCATTGAATTCATTGTCATTGTTTAAAATCATTATTTTTTGTTAAATACTAAGATGATCATAGAGAGGATACAGCAGATTACACCGAAGAGATAAACCGTCTGATAATTAAACCATCCTGCGGCAAGACCCGCAGCCGGACCTGCCAATCCCAATGAAAGATCAACAAAAGCTACATAGGCACCCAAAGCTGTTCCTCTCATCTGTGGTTTTACTTTCTGGATAGCCAATACCCCCAATGCCGGGAAAATCAGCGAAAACCCTATCCCTGTCAGTCCGCATCCTATGATCGCCATTTCTTTTGATCCTGAAGTCCAGATCATCATCTGCCCTGCTGCTTCAATAATCAGTGAGACAAAAGCCACTCTGAAGCCTCCAAATCTGTCAGGAAAAGAAGCGAAGAAAATTCTGGTAAGCACATAACATGCCCCGAAAGTCATGAAAGCCAGTGATGCATCACCCCAGTTTTTTTCCATAAAGAAAAGACCTACAAAAGAAGCAATACATCCAAATGCAATAGAAGAAAATGCGAGGCTCAATCCCTGTCCCGCTACTGTTTTAATCACCTTATAGAAAGGAGCTCTTACATGATCTATATCCACCGGAACTGCCGGAAGTTTTGCTGTAGAAATCCAGCTGATCACTGGTAGAATCATAATAAGAACAAATGCATTAAGCTCTCCGAAACCTTTACTCAGCCAGATGCTTAACGGGGCTCCGATCGCAATGCCTGCGTACATGGCAATACCATTCCAGGTCATTACTTTTCCTGAACTCTGATGGCCTGCCAGCCCGATTCCCCACGTTAAAGCTCCTGTAACAAGGAAGCTTTCGCCTACCCCATGAATGATTCTCGCAAGCAGCAGGAAACCCAGTGCCAACAAAGGAGAAGACTGGCATGAAACGGCAATAATATAGGTCACTCCGGCGATGATAGAGAGTATAACTCCTGACATTTTGCTTTTTTTCGCACCTTTTGTATCTGTTATCTTTCCGGAGTAAGCCCGGGTCACCAGTGTTGCCAGCGACTGAAGTCCGATCACAAGCCCTATGATCAGGCTATTGAATCCTAAATTGTTCTGGACAAATTTCGGAAGCGCGCCCAAAGCAATTCCTATTGTCAGGTATATGGCAAATACAGAAAGAATAATCGGCATGGTCGCTTTATAGAAATTGATGGTCTGTCCTTTTTCTAATGTTGTACTCATAATGTGGTTGAAAATATTCGGTGCAAATGTCCTGGTACAGCGAAAAAAAAACTTTGACTTAAGTCAAAAAAGTAAAAACCTACTCTTTTGTTACTGATATATGACTCTTTAGAGCTTCAATTTCCTGATCAATGGTGGTGGTCCAAAAATCAAGTTCCCATTCTTTTTTTCTGATCATTTCAAGAGAGAAGTCTCCTTTATGATAGCTTCTAACCAGTTCCTTTCTCTGGTGGTCTGCCAGTTTCAGCTCCAGTTCATAATAGCCTTTTTTCCAGTAAGTCTTATCTGTATAGGGTTGTGCTCCATGCTGCTGAATAAGCTTTTCTTTTTCGAGCTTTTGAGTCATGGTATTGATTATACTTTGTGTCATTTTATGATCTGCTTTTAAATCTTTAAGAAATAAAACAGATTGCTCAAGCAGTAATTTATTGAGTTCTTTTTCATTCTGTTCTTCCTCTGCGGCAGGCTTGATCAGTTTGATCAACTTTGGAAGAGTGATTCCCTGAATGAACAGGGTAAAAATAATGACCACAAAAGTGATGAATAATACCGTACTCCGCTGTTCTATAATAAATCCTTTATCATCCTGAAAAGGTAAAGCCAACGCTGCTGCCAGAGAAACAACGCCCCGCATTCCTGACCAGGATAAAATGATGTACTCTTTTTTATGCCGGGTAAGAAAATTCTTTTCTTTTTCGGGTTGGGTTCTGGAAAAAATGGGAAACACAGCCAGA